ACAGGGATCAAAGAAGTCAAATTGGTGGCGCTAGATGTTGAAAGTTATTTGAGTTTTTATCAAATAACTTTCGAATTAGCAAAGCTAGGAACAAACTAAAGGCATAATCGTGATCCTCTCGTTAATCCGCATAGAATCATATATGTGTTGACCTCGAAAGGTCAAGGTCAAAGGTTGACCCCAGGTCACGTGACCTCAAGGTCATCATGTATATAATTCAATGCGCCTTGACGAGCTGAACACAATGAGACCATCTGCGCGGCTGCATCTTGTTCCTGTAAGGAGTTATTAGCAAAAAACATTTGGTGACCCTTGATGACGTCACATGACCTTACAGCTGCCCAAGAGCAAAAGAGGCCTCAAGCTAGTCAAGGATGATTGTATATGAAATCACTCATGGTATATTGGGTTATTCCGACGCGATTTAGGGGGAAAACACGGGGTTGATTTTCCCCCCATTGGCTTATGTGGCAGTGGCGGATCCAGGGGGGGGGGCTGCGGGGGCTGGCAGCCCCCACCCAAGGAAAACTGGCGCCACTGCGCCGAAGGCGCAGTGGCGCCAATTTTCAATTCGCAACTCATCGGAGTGCCGCATACTAGGACTAGGATGCAAAAATCAGTCGAATAACGTCGTTTCAGTACGCTCCGCACCGATATTTCCAATCGTGTGGTGTCACTGTACATACTGATCCTGGGCGCCTCTTGTCAGGGCCACTGGGCGCCAATATTTCAGCGCCAATACGATGCGACTATGGCGCCCATCCGGGGCGTGGCGCCCAATTATGACCTGCAGCCCCTCCCCAGTGAAAATCCTGGATCCGCCACTGTTATGTGGAGGTCAAGAAATCGACCTGACCTTAGGTCATCAATATCAAAATTCCGAGAAATAGAATTGTAGCCATCATCAACCTCATTACATCCTACGACGTTCATAGGCCTCAGTCATCTACTGTAGCTCTGACACGGTGACAAAATTGCAAAAAAGTGATTTGAGGTTGGCTCACTCCAAGTGACCTGGTGACCTGACCTTGAGAGGTAAGAGCTGCAAACATGCACACCATGTGTAAAATTGATGAGGGAAAAGTCATGCCAAATTTTGCGGCGCCATGGTTTTTCCGCTATCCGCTAAAAACCTCAGGGGGCGGTAAATCGCCCCCCTTCCGTCGGTGCGCGGGCATTCTGCCACCCGGCGGCATCGAACAGCGCCCCGCCCCATTCGCCCGTGCGGCCAATGCTGCAGTCTGTCCGGCGATGACGACCGCCCGACGATGACCCGTGTCAGGGGAAGGAGGTGCGACATCCGTGTGCGGTGTGCTGTCTTGAATCGTCCGTTTGTATTGAGAGAGAGAGAGAGAGAGCGAATGTCCAGTGATTGAATCTGTATGCCTGTGTTTCTTGTCCCCGCATGTTTTTGTTTGTACCCGACTCATACTCTGGACTATAATTGTCACACGCTGTGTGGATCGTCCATGATGGTAATACATGCATACACATACACATACACAAAAGATTTTCCACTCTCAACGGTCGATTACAATCAACCTCCACTCTTCACTTATATGGCCTTGCGCTCTTCAACATACATACTCATGTACTTTTCTGGTGTTTGTTGATGCATACACGTGAGGTTTTATATTGATAGAGACAAGTAGAAAAACACGGAACAAAAAGTGCATGGACGAGTTTCGATTATTAAATCTTCATCAGCATGTCATAACCACAGAGAAACAAGATATCTTGTTTTGACGATTGGTAAGAAAACAATATATCTTGTTTTCTCTGTGGTTATGTCATGCTGATGAAGATTTAATAATCGAAAAGCGTCCATGCACTATTTGTTCTGTGTTTTTCTGCACATGAGGTTAATGATTGTTTACGGCGAATCCTCGTGTTTGAAGCTTATCAACCTGTTATAACGTATTGGGATGTTGAAGCTTTTTTTTCAGCATCAGTTTATTACACACCACACGGTTCGTCGGAAGGTCATCTCAGGCTCAAAAGACACGGTATATACCATTCGAAAGCTGACGGTGAGCTGAATCCAAAAATGTATTTTTTATCAAAATCGATCGATGGCCTTTTTTGAAAATTGCGTTTTTGTAAAAACTTAATAATCTTTTATTCAACGGGCTGTCCCGGACATTCTTGAAAACATAAACATGTATTTTTGAGTTCCAGTGAAAGCTGAACGCCAAAAGAACAATATTTAGCGAAGCAATATTTCCAAACATTAATATGCGTCTCCCACAGCCGAAAATAAGGCGCAATCACACAGCTCAGTGTCACGATGGACCAAAGTCAGCCACACAGAAGCGTGAAATGACCCTTATCGACTCGCAGACCCGGCGCTCTCGGCCCGCCTGACCGGTCACGGAAAGAACGTTCGGCTCTCGCTCTACTAAACAAATGTCATATTTGTCAGTTTAACTGTCCACATCGCTATTAAAGTTATTCAGGATACCAGTGAAGAAAATTCATTGTTCTGCTCGATTTACAACATGCTTTAATTTACATTTTTCTTATACATGCTTTGTTCCATCCAGCTGCGATCAGTGCCCGCGCAGGGGAAGTGAGCGGGGTTTCACTGTCAGAGGCTGTACTGGTGACAGCTGCTCGGCCGTGCGACCGGTCAAAGGTTACCCTGCCCCGCCAGGCGCTACCCCCACTCCACCCGAGCTGAGGCCGGTGCAGCCTCTAACATTTCAGCGCGGCCAATTTTCCTTATATGGGCATGATACCAAGCTCAATTGAGCAAAGTAGACATGGACAAATGCAAATTAATGCATGATGTGAAGATGACAGAACAATGAATTTTCTTCACAGGTATCCTGAATAACTTTAATAGCGATGTGGACAGTTAAACTGACAAATATGACATTTGTTTAGTAGAACGAGAGCCGAACGTTCTTTCCGTGGCCGGTCAGGCGGGCCTAGAGCGCCGGGTCTGCGAGTCGATAAGGGTCATTTCACGCTTCTGTGTGGCTGACTTTGGTCCATCGTGACACTGAGCTGTGTGATTGCAGCTTATTTTCGGCTGTGGGAGACGCATATTGATGTTTGGAAATGTTGCTTCGCTAAATATTGTTCTTTTGGCATTCCGCTTTCACTGGAACTCAAAAATACATGTTTATGTTTTCAGGAATGTCCAGGACAGCCCGTTGAATAAAAGATTATTAACTTTTTACAAAAACGCAATTTTCAAAAAAGGCCATCGATCGATTTTGATAAAAATTACATTTTTGGATTCAGCTCACCGTCAGCTTTCGAATGGTACATATCGTTTCTTTTGAGCCTGAGATGACCTTCCGACGAACCGTGACCAGTCAGCGGACACAGCTCACAATACACAGCGCCGTGGTCTTAATCAAACGTGATCAGCAAAACCCAACGCGGTACGGGCCCGCTTTGGACACTGTCAGCGGCCGTACCGAGCATTGAGTACCGCAGGCAGCGGTACACAGTACCAAGGGTACGCAGTAGGGTAGTGTGGGGTAATTTGAACATATTTTTACGTCTTCTCCGTTGTACCAAGTTCCAACTCAACCCTGGATGAAGAAAAACTGCTTCAGTAGCGCAAGTGTCACTTGCTTTCACCATGCAAGCCTCATTTTTGGACGAGCCGAGCATACCTTGAATAGCATAGCCTCACTTCTCCACCAAGTCACGGTGTGTTCAAATTGCCCCACTGTGGGGTAATTTGAACATACTGCCTTTACCTGTCATAAAAACGATAATCTCGCCAGCACCGATGTTGTTTGACCCATAAACAAGTAGGCAGAACAATTCTAAACACACCTTCACTTGAAAAATCAACACAACAAAAATAACAGTTGCAGAGTATCAATACCTGCACGCTGCACACCGGTCAGTTGACAAAATTCGTCTCTCTTCAATTAACAGAACGTCATCATTTTTGTTCGATAAAAACTCTCCCAACCTTGCTGCATCTGTTATAGTGGTGCCACTCGAACCCTGGACATTTTGAGTTCTGATTTTGTCCGATGTCCAATTTGGAATTGGTTGGACAAAGGTAGCAGACTGGACAACATTGGACGATGGCTTGCTAAACTTCAGCGCTTTTTATAAAGTAACGTGCATAGCATTGATTGGCGAATGGAAAGTTTGTTAAGCTCTCAATATAATGTACACTTTTCGGTTGGTAATATTACATTAAAAGCAATTTAAATGACAGTTTTGAATGTTGATTAATGCGTAATTTTCGGACATATTTGGACAAATGGCTGCCTTTAACATTTTTGAACGGAAATAAACGAAAATGCCGGACATTAGACGGATATTAGACGTAAATTTTATAAAACTGGCATCACTTATCTGCTACTGCTTTGGGTCGAAAATATTGGCAAAAAAAAAGAACTGGGAGCGTTGTTTTCGGAGCTATCCCTGTCTTCACTGAAATTCTCAGACTATGTTCAAATTACCCCACGCTAAAAGTTATTTTGTCATATCTAAAAACAAGTTTCAAAAGCAAATTTCTTGGATTGAATGCATTGATTAGGTCGTTGTACAACAAAAGCCGTTGCGTATTAGACGCTAGCAATGCAAGATTTTGCGCTGCAATGAAGTTGCAATGACGTGATTTTAGGCGTTTTTTCTTGCGAAATTGATTTTTTACATTGTGCGTCAACATCTTCATTCCCTGAAACATTAAACTCCGTTCATATGATAGCCCTTTTAGTTACGATAATTTCCCTCATTGGTCTTATTGTCATGCCACTTATGGATTTTCCGTAATTTTGTGTTTTTCACACTATGTTCAAATTGCCCCACATGTTCAAATTACCCCACCCTACCCTACTTCGGTACACAGTACACTGGCACTCAGAGATACAGACACTCAGCTCGGTACGACCCCTCGCGCGGCGGTCTTAGGGAAGTTGAAGTTTGTGTCGGGATGTTATACAGCTCAGCGGTATACCTATATTCCCGTCAGATCTGGTGATAAGCGAGTGTGCTGACGGATCATTGATTGCTTTTTTCAGATGCTATTCCCGACTGGGACAATCCGTTCCTCTCTGCCGATACGTCCGACGACTACATCAAAGACGTGGATGAATCCAATGCGGTCCTTACAGTATACGAGGACGTCCCGATTGGTCACAAGATAGCCGAGCTCAACATCGTGGCACAGACAGGTGAGTGAACCTTTTCTAGTTAGGGCGTCACGGTGATGAAACTTAACCCGGCACCGCCTGGGCTATTTCCGTACCCACGACAGCCTGAGGGGGGGGGGGGGTCGGATCCGACCCCCCCCCCCTGTTATTTCGAGAACCAATGGTCGTATCGAGCCCCGCGAGGCGGCGTTCGAAAAGGTCTCTACGAGACCTTCCCAAAGCACTCTTAAGATTTTAAGATTGAGGTCAACTTTCGGGTCAAGGTCAGGTCAAAGGTCAAATTCGGGGGTTTTGCATGATTAGGCTTACGGACAGCGGAATTGATAGCTACTGCTCGAAACTGACCAAAAATGACCTCAAAGGACTAGTGAAGGTACCATGTGCGTATAGGGGTCATACTAAGTACGGGTCAAGGTCAGGTCAGGTCACGAAAGGTCACGTTTTCACTTTCTGCTACATGGGCGTGCGACACATGTTTTATGGCTTATTTTTCACGCCGAATCCGATGGTAATGGTTATATGTGACCCCAAGTCACTTTGCTGGTGATAAAAGTGCAATGAAAGCATACAAAAATCGTTTATACCATACATAACTAAACGAGGGCTAAGAAAAAAGTCAATTTTTCAACTTTTTATTTTTGACATAAAAATGTACTTTTCTAGACGAGCTTTGTCCCAGGAATCTAGTGGTGCCATTTGTTTTCTCATGCGATGTTCAGAAGTGCCTCTAATTCACGAAAATGCTTATGACGTCACCATGCCCTATGCCTGTTGGAGCTATTTCTTACAATTTGGGGGTCAAAAATCAAGATAGAAAGTTGAAACTTGGGGCATTAAATGTTTTTATAGAGCTCTACAACATATATTCCGTTTTTTTTGGAAATTCCCAAAATTTTGGATTTTATGAGCTGTTTTCCAAAAATATAGTTTTTTGACTTTTTAGGGGTGAAAAACGCATTTTATGGAAAATCCGAGATAACCATTTTAAAGAACTCGTTGAGCTGCGTCTTTTTCAGTCCTTCATTTGTAATTTTCCCTAAACCCTGATTTTTGGGGATTTTTTTTTAAACATTTACCACTTTTTGACCAAAAACGCCATGTAGTTACATTACTAAAATCGATATATCTGAAAAAATTGAAATTTTTTCTTAAAAATTACACAGGAGACGTCAAATTGATGGGGGAGAAGGTATGCCAAGTTTCAAGTAGATAGCGAAAGTGGTTCATGAGTTATTCAAGAAAAACGGGGGGGGGGTCGGATCCGACCCCTCCAGGCGGTCGCGGGTTAACTTCGCTCTCCTGATACTATATACATATCAATGCAGGCTAGCGAACCATTATCCGTTAGGCGGCACGGGCGGACATCGATAGCAGCGCCTCTATCGGTCACTAGGAAAAGCTGGGCTGTAGGCGACGAAATACCGGCTGAGTTGTCACACGTTGAATAGGTTTATAGACATCAGTCTTGTGAAAAAGTTGAACTTTTGCCTTCAATATTTCTACAGGCAATTTTAGAAGTGTCTTCACATAGATTACAAACCGTTTAGATTATTGTATTCACTTCAAGCCTTCCCTATTGTCCTTGACGAAGATGCGGGAACTATTTCTAATTAGTGTTTCTAGCTTAGTAAAAATATATTGTGGAAACGATTTTTTTTTTTTCATAAATGTATTTATTTCACTCACATACAGGTTGCTTAAACGATTATTGCACCCATGACTCCTCTTATTCGGCTGTCACTCTAATAATCCACGCTATGTTTCAATTCGGGACGTCCAGTCACGCTAGAGGAACATAAGAGACTGCAGAGCAAAAATAAAAAAGCGAAAACTGCCCAGTGTGACCCGGGTTTCATCAATAACATTTCTAATTCACATTCTCTTCACACATAATCGCGAACCAATTCTGTATAGGCACCTAGGTATATAACACCCGCCAGCTGACATTTTATACCAAATAAATTGTCCACACCAACCACAGACCGCGCAAAAAGTAAGCAAAGAAAGTAAAAGTAAACAAAAATTTAACCATGTTCGGGCACAAGTGTGACAATATTTTAGATACTCAGCAGGAACTGAAGGGGCGGCAGCGGAGCGGCGGACGGAGGCGGTCAGTGTTTTGAACATGTCATTATCTGCTCCAGGAACGGAGAGGGGGCGCCACTACATCCAGCAGTAGGTGGCGCCACCGCACCGGCCGGCCACGGGCCGCCATCAGATGCCGCCCCCACACAGCAGCGCTCGAGAGTGGGAAGGATCATAGAAGGATATATCTTAGGGCATTGGATGTAAATAAGCAGTAAATAAGCAGCATTGGAGATAAATATATCATTCAGGCTACTGATTGATATATGAGTGATGGAGAAAGTTTTCCGGTTCACCGTTGTGCGGCGCAAGGCGAGGCAGCCTGGTTCTTATTGGTTGTTTGAGCCGAGTGTATTTTGGAGCTTACTCCATTTATTTTCGAAAACTTTCATATCATTACCGTTCATTGCAATATATTTTTCAGTTTCATAATCTCGTTTGATGCAGAGTTTAAAGTTATGTATTGATGGTTTTGTTTCTTTATATCTTGCGTCGTATATACAGAGTTTTGCAACTGTTACTATATGAGTAAGCAATGCGTTTTCACTGTCACCAAAACATTTAGTTTTATCATTAAGTTGGCCAATTACATTTGTGTGTAAGAAGCGAGAAAGATCTTCCCAAAATATGCGAACGTGTGGGCATGTGATGAATAAATGTTTTAATGTTTCAGGGTTACGATCACAGAAGGTGCATCGATCATGATCTCTGCGATTTATTTTGAATAAGAAGGAATTTGTTGTTAGTATTCTCATAGCAAACTTATACTGAAAGGATGTATACCGTAACAAGCTAGTACTGGTTTTAACTGTCAGGGCAGATCCTTGTTCAAAACACCCCACATCTTGTTTCCATTTATTTTCTATCCTTATCATATCCGTATCACTCCTAATATTGCTGTTTAGGGCACTTCTATTGAATGTTTTTGTGTAGCTATCGTGATTAAGCAAGAAATACATGCGAGCAGGAATATAGGGGCGCTCCTGCTTCCACCCGTCAGGCTGGTCTCTTCGCAGGTGTTGTGGAAGACTGTGTAGCAGGCTGTGATAATCTAGGTAATTGCAGTTAATTCCATAGATTTCTTTAAATCTCTCCCACGATAGAATTTTATTATTCTCAAAAAGATCTCCTATAATGTGCACGCCTCTTCTCTCCCACTTACGATATGCATTTTTCCTGAACTTTGTATGGTCTGAGTGGAATATATTTTCATTATTGATGTTCTCAGCAGGTATATCAAAAATATTCGAAAAATGCATCCATATCGTAACTACATCTTTCCAAAATGGATTGGTGATAGATTTTGCCACTTCCTTAAGTGCAACAACTCCATAGTTCCATATGAATTCCCTTTGCAGCTTAAGCGGTATCAGTGTATACCACGTGCTCTTACTACCTTTAACAAATCGTTTAACCCATTTCATTTTTAGGGATTGAATGAAAGAGCCAGTGTCTATCATTGACAGACCATTTTCATTTATTGACTGACACAACCGTCGTCTTCTCACCGGGTTTCTTTTGGATCCCCATATAAAAGTAAAGAACATTGCATTTAAATCTTTTATAAGTTTATCACTAGGATTTGGTAAGGCAGAAAGTATATGTGTGATTTTAGGAAGCAAAAGTGATTTAGTTATCGCTATTTTCCCAACTAACGATAAACATCTGCCCTGCCACATAGCTATGGTTCTCAAAATTGCATCTTTTTTACGTTTTATGTTTTCATCTGTTATATTCGCACATTTGGGAGTAAATGTTACACCGAGTAACTTGAGTTCTTTTACCCAATCCAGTTCTATTTCTGGACATATTTTGGTTTCCAAGTTTGCACATTCACCTATCCACATTGCATGACACTTTGAGATATTCGGCTTAAGGCCCGAGTACTTTGAAAACCACCCGAGCTCTTTAAACACTTCTCTCAGGCTTCTATCAGATCCGTCTAAAAACAGCGTCGTATCATCTGCGTATTGTATTATTTTAGCTGCCTCATTGTTCAGTTTTATTCCTTTGATACGCTCGTTCTGCCTCACTTTATTTGACAGGATCTCGGCACCGATTATAAAGAGGTAGCATGATATCGGGTCTCCTTGTCTACAGCCTCTTTCCAACAATATCTGTTCTCGGCTAAGCTCACCATTATACGATATTCTCGAGAAAGTATTCCTGTGTAGACACCAAAACATATTGATGAACTTCTCGCTAAATCGAAATTTTCGCAAGCAGCTCTCAAGGAATTTCCAGTTCATTACATCAAATGCCGATTGAAAGTCTATAGAAAGTAGAAGTCCTTGTTTGCTGCTGTGCTGTGCTTCCCACAAAACGTCATATGTTGTACGAATATTTTCTCCAATATATCGATTCCTTAGAAAAGCTGTTTGATCCGAGTGAATAATATTATTAAGCACCTTTTTTAATCTATTTGCTATGGTTCCAGCTAACATTTTGTACGTCGAATTTAGTAGGGTTATAGGTCTCCAGCTCGATATAAAATTTTTGGGTTTAGACGGTTTGGGTACTAGTGTTATGATACCTTCTCTTTGTGTAATAGAAAGCTCTCCTCGTTTAAGACCGTATTCAAGAGATCTAAAAACAAACCATTTCAAGTCACCCCAGAAAACCTTATAAAATTCATATGGGAAGCCATCTGAACCTGGACTTCGGTTATTGCTAAAATGCATAAGAGTGGCTCCGATTTCCTCAATCGTTATATCTCTTTCCAGGAGTTCAGCTTCCTCATCAGTAAGTGTCGGCACATTCACCTCATCTAAATACGCATTTATTTCAGAGTTCGTTCTATCGGAGCCTCTCGCATACAGCTTAATAAAATGTTGACTTAGTTCACTTAGAATTCCATCGGAGTCCTTAACTATGCGGTTTGTCACATTCAAAGAAGGTATTAATTTACTTTCGAAATTTCTCTTTTCCATTTTCAA